AGCACGAGGGGCCGATTTATGTAGTCTCTGCAAGCAGCTTCTGGAGAGCGCAGCAGGCTTGGAGGAGGACATACCTGATGTCTGTAGTACAACTGACGTTTGAATCTTAACTTTCCCTTTTTTTTTTTGAAGTGCAGGAGGCTTTTCCAGTGGCAGAATGACTGTTGTAATTGTTTTTTCAATAGTTTCCTGAGCCTTTCTTCACTGTCCAAACAAACTGTAACACACCAACTTTATCTTGTAATACACAAATGCTTATTATTTTAACTTTATTAAATTTTTTTTTAAAAGCCCAATTGAATTATTACCTCATTCTCTCCTTATTTTCTCAAGACTGTGTCTTGGAGAAGGCTGATTGCATGTAGGTACAGTTTTCTCTAATTTACCAGTTTTACTTATCTTTACATCCCAGGGTACATTATAACATTAGGAAAAACATTGGCTGTTTTCCAGTACAGTAGCTGATTGTAATGTGAGATGGCGGGGGTGTTTTTTTTTTTTTTAACAACTCGGCCAATTCATTCTTAGATTCTTTCAGAATTCTGGAATGAATACCATCTGGTCTGGGTGCCTAGCCAGGGGACAGATCTTACAGCCCATGCCCTGATCCTGGCTCCCGGTACCTGTAGCGATCGCTGCTGATTTCACTGGGGCCCCTTCATGGTTTTGTTTATGCAAACAACTGCTGTTTGTTACCTGGAGTTAGTAAGTCCTAAGTGGAAATTTCTCCAGCATCCCATGCCATGACTTCCATGTTTTTACTTTTCTTGAAAGTTTCTGGGGTAACGCATCCCTTGCACAAAGACTTTCTCAAGTCCCCCAAACCCACGAGTCGGCACAAGCCAAAGCAAAACCTGCCCCGAGGGACGTGTCCGTCGCATCCCTGCTTAGGTCAGTGTTTGGATATCTAAATTTTTTACTGTAGCTTTATTTAGGAAAAAATGCTCAGTTATCAAGACCAAAATAACATAAAACATCTTTATTGCATATTTAAATTCTGGCACAATTTGAAGACATTGTTTACACTTATTCGCTCTTTCTTCATGTCTTTACAATAGAGAAAAGCTGCAGGTGGCTTTTTTTTTTTCTCCTTCTTTTTTGGAGGAGAAGGAGTGTTTGGGAAATAGGGAAGGGGTAAAGTGATGTTATTAGTCCTTCAGAGTCTTTAATGTGAAGAAACAAAAGTGTTCCAAAACGACTTGCTTACAGCTGCAGAACGTGTCATGGAGTAAAACCCACCTTCATTAAATGGGTGAAAAAGAATTCTAATTGTTTTGAAGTTCTTATGATCAGTCTGCATATGCTTCATTGTAATGTGATACTAAAGTGCCTCAATTATGATTTGTATATTTTGGTGCCAGAAGGGTTTTTTTCTTATGCTAAGTTATTAAGTTCTGTCAGCTGCTGGGCTGTCATATAGAGATACAGTAAATCACATTATATTTTGTCATGGATTACACAGAGCAATAAATTTGGGAACAGAGATCAAAGTAGTTTCACAATCACATCTGAGTGTAGGAGGGGTGTTTAACTTGTAGAAAATCTGATTTAGGTGAAACTGTTGCAGTCCTTGTGTGAATTTGAAATGAATTTGAGTGTTTGCTTGAAAATGAATAAGGTACAAATCCCCAAAATAGTTCTCCTGTATTTAGTTGAGGAGTTAATCCTGACCTACAGCTGCAGGATGGATGGAGAACAGATAAATAATGAAACATTGGGAGAGTTAAAAGTCTCGCAATGTCTTATTTGTGTTTTTAATTGCTTTCATGATTGAGCAATAGATTTCATTCTTTTTTTAATTGGGGCTTTGCTGGACTTGCGCATAGTTACTCATTGGTACAGTAATGCTTTCTGGCTCCGTGAAGTTGTCGTTCTTTCTGGGAAGCTTTGTTGTATTTAAAACTACAAAAAGTAAACCAGTATAATCTTGCTAAGGAACACTGATTGCTTCAGATCATGAATTTGTAGGGGATTTTGTTGTATTTTCGGTGTTCGTCTTTCCAACTGCAGAAGCTTAACTTTTGTTGGGCTCTCATCCAATGATGTAGCTCAGTAATACCAAGTTAACTTAGTAATGCTGAGTTAACTTAGGGATACCGAGTCTGTCCTTTTGTTTCCAGTTTTCCTTCTATTTAATAAGAAAGATTCGTCTCAAAATGCTACATATGTAGAACTTTTTTCTAGTCATTATCTTCTTAACGCATGCTTGTTATTGCCACAGAATTCAACTTGAAACAGCAATTGAGAGTCTACAAAATAAAAATCACATTCTTATTCCTTTATAGTCCTCTCAGGAGCCTTGTAGTCTCTCCATGGCAAAAATAAAGGCACATAAACTTAGCCGATATATAATGATGAAGTGCATGGGTCTCAGAAATCTCTGTTTTTTTGAAAGAATCGTGTATTGTAAAGCTTGTATTAAGTAGTCTTTGACTGAGTCAAGTCATGGATCAGTGTCACATCTTGGTACTATTGCCTTCTATTTGTGGAGGAAACTTTAGCTTTGACTTCCATCTTCAAAGATGTTTAGCAGCCTGTCCCTTTGTGATTTTACTGGGTGTCAGCTGTTTGGGTACCAAAAACATCTGGGCCTGAGTGATAGAAGCTATTCTGTAAACTTCTTTATGTTAGAGTGGGAGAGAGAGACAGAGTGCACATGAGCAAGTGAGGTGCCTGTGTTGCAGAGGTGCCCAGTTTTTCTGATGAATAAAGGCAGCTTGTAAAAGCTCAAATAATTCCTGTTGGGCGCATGTTTTATTTGTTGCGGCTCTCAAAAAGAAAATGCCACCAGTTTTGATATAATGTCTTAAAACCAGTTTAAATAACCATCTTGATTTAGTTGAACAGAACAGAAGAAAACCAGGAAATAGTAAAAAAACGTAACCCAGGAATGTATTTGTGCTGTACCAGATTTAGGCATGTAGCTGCAGGAAAACTAGCCTTCAGTCCCCTAATGTGGAGTGTTGCAGGCACAACATCTTCACTAGGTTTACCCAGTTCATCTTATTTGAACTGTGCTGTACTGTAAAAGCCACCTGCCTCCAAACTGTTTTGGCAAAAATGTCACAGTACATCTTCAGATTAAACGATAATTCACTGTCTGTCCTTTAAATGCCTGATGCATGCATGGTGCTGTCATGTGTAAAGTACTGTTAAGGTGTTGAACAATGTTGAACCTAGACTATTCATCTCGTTTTAAAACTTTTACTGTATGCAAGGCTTGTATTTTATGCAATCATGCATAAAATCACTGCAACAATCATGCAGTTGATTTTAAATAAGGTGCCTGGCTCACTGCACTGTTGCATAGAAATCAGTATTAGTGATGCTGGGAAGTAGATGCCCGGTAAATCCATTTAGATGGAGCTAGTAGTTGCACACTAGTGTAAGGATGGTGTAACTTTGGCATCAGACACCATGCAGTTGGGAATCTCATAGAAGAATTTTTGGAAGAATTAACATGTCTGTATTTTTCTCTATATAATTCCAGAATGATTAGAAATGCACTGTTGGTTTAAATGAAAAGACTGGAAATCCGAGTTTTCCTAAGGCACAAAGTGCACAAGCAGTTTTTCTGTAGGCCCCCATTGAGCACAGAATTGGAATATACTGCAGAAAGGCAATTCTCTGTACAGGTAGTGTCAAATTCATTTCTATTTGTTCTTGGTTTTTTCCCAATGAAAAGTGCTTAGCACATGAATGAGAGGGGGTTTTCTCCTAAAGATGTATATTTAAAGGAAAAAAAAGACAAGACAGAAAAAGATTTATAGACCTACAAAAGTGGAGTGTAAAATAGAATATTAATAGGATTTGGGGTATGACAGATTGGGATTTCTGTCATTCATTTTCAAATGCCTAGAAGTCATTTGGTGCTTGACTAATTATTCTGTTAACATCATTTTGGATATTGAACTATTTTTGATGGTCTTTTGGGTGGCTCAAATTACATATTTGAACTGGTATGCTGTTTTCACTGTTACACAGAGATTCAGATTCCCATTTGGTGTCTGATTGGTGGGGAGAGCAGTAGAAAGAACAGGAGTATAGGCGTAGGAAGTCACCCGCTGTTGGTATTAGAGGCACATAAGGAAAATAAATGTTTCAGGCTTTAAGGGTGAAAATGAAATTTTTCTGTACGATCAGATGAACTTAAAAGGCGATCTGCTAATCTCTGAAGTTTAAACAGATATTGTACAGCGTGTTTTAACATACTTAATAACAAAAATTGCTACAGTTAGCCCTTCTGAAGGTCAGTTTCTTTTGACTTCTGTCAAATTACACAATCTTGAATTTTGGTACAAAGCATAATGCTGTCAAACTTAAATAGAAATATTCCAGAATGTGGAGTGGTGTGTTGTTTTTAAGGTAAATGGGCCCCATTTACATTAGTTCTTTGATGTTAAATTCTTTGCTGCACATCAGAGAACAGTTGCTTCTTCCCTGCAGCAAGTTTTCTTTCTTCTCCTTCCCCCACCCTTTGATTTTTTTTCCTTCTTTTTTTTTTTTTCTTAGTTTGCTTACACTTTTATCTAACTAATTATGGAGGATCAGCTTATGTATGGCCATCAGTTAGTTAGTTGCAGGCTTTTTGAAAAATGATTGTTTCATAGCTAGTACCGGATTTCTTAAATCTACTTCTCTATTAGTGAATGTGGGTGTGTACGTATCACCCCCTAGTTCATGAGAGTTATGTTTGTGCAGGTTTTGTTGTTTGTCCATGTTTTGGGAATGTTGAAATCAAATTGAAATGCTGCTGAATCAGTCACAAAACAGTAAATCATATATAGATGAACAGGATTTCACTACACATCCTTAACTCCTACAGATCTATGCACGTTTGGGTTGCTGGAGTTAGTTTTCCTGTTAGTTTTGTAGCATGATTCAAGTCTTAACATTCCATCTGAAAATCACCATTCCAAAGCTGGAAGATATGCATGGATTTGTACTATTCCAAAACATTCTTAACAGCTGCGTTTTTGATGAACATTCAAAATGTCCTGATGGAGGATGAAGTTGTCCGTGTGCCTGCCAGCCCCACAGTGCAGCTACAGCTACTGTCGACACGGGAGGTGGCCGTACCGGTGAGCAGCCCCCAGGGCTGTTTAGGGCATGTGTTCCATCGAGTGGAACTAGAACTAAAAGTCCCCATCTTGCATCTTAAAAATAACATGTAAAACTTCATAATTAGGGTAGGACTTGGTATGCTTTGGCGGTGTGGTCCCATTGCAGATCCTTTGCTCTTTTGTTCCTACTGGTGCTGTTCTGTTTCATGAAAGGAGAAAAAATGAAAATCGGGCTGTGTTAGAATAGCATCCGTTACTTCAGATAGCACATCTGTAGTGCTAATACCGTTTTTACATGAAATGTTTTGTTGAAGTCGGTGCAGTTTTGCTCAGCAACCACAATATGATGCTTTAAGGCTTGTTATAGAATTATAGTTGGTTTTTAAAACCAATTAACTGTAACAAGGACATAATCTTTTTAATGCAGAAGTCCTCGCTCTGTAATATAAAATAACTGCATGTAAAATTGTCATAATCAGATAATTTTAGCTAAAATATGTATTAACTGTGTGAAACTAAACATAAGTTAATTTTTGAATCAGTGGAATTTCTCTATGGCTTATCCAATTTAAACCTTTTTATTATAAGAATGCATATTACAATTGATATTTCTGACAAGTTTTGCCCAAGCGTGAATTTCAACAGCTACCTCTCGCACACAGAAAACTAGTTTAAGACCATTAACTATATTTGCAGCGCTGCCCCTTGAAATAAAAAAGAGTTAGACTTTAATGAATACTGGCTGACCCTCCAAATGTTCGCCTTCCAGGTCGATTCTTATTCATTATGTTTCTGAAATAGCATGTAACCTGAAAGTGAGGGAATGCCCTTAAAATAATGCAGAAGCAGCTTATGCTTCATACAATACATGAGCCGAGCAGCCTGGTACAAAAGGAGCAGCCCAGGAAACTGCTGCTTGTGTGCACCATGCCATTTGTAACCTTCTTGTTTGTCAAGATAAATGGAATATAAATCTTCTGCGATGTTCAGTGTACACAGCTATGCATATTTGCTTTGCTGTAAGTCATTCCTTAAAAAAAAAAAAGTAGTAAAAAGGCACTTTTTTGTGCGTAGCAGTGCTGTATGTACCCCAGGGGAGTCGGTTTATGCCTCCGTAGGCTGCAAAGCAACAGCCTATAGTCAAGAGGTATTAAACTAGTTTAGTTGCAGGTTTTAGAAAGGGAAAACTGCAGAAAAAATTCTGCAGTAAAAGATGACAATGGAAGAGTGTTCCTGTGCATCATCACAAATTCAGTCTTTCCAGGTGACCAGTGTGCTGCAACTTGTAGAAACTGCCTTCTGCAGAGCTTCACTGGCGCTACCTGTGCCGTTTGTGATGATGCAAGACCTGCACCGTGTTACAGATCGAGAGTGAAAAGCTGAAGTCAGCAAGTGTCCATAGTTTTTAGTGCCACAGGGTCGAGATAGCCAGTTTTCGACAGCTAGAGCCAGTCTAAATGTGTTTTTCCTTTCTCCAGTGGAAGTTGTGGTAGCCTAGTACTTCTGAAAATCAGACCCCTCAAGTAAGGGTGTTTGGGACTGCAAGTAAATGCAAGAATTTGGGGTTTGTTGATGACTGGGAGACAACTTATGAATGTTTTGCTAATTGGAATTTGTTAAAGCCGCTATAAAATAAAACATTGTAATTGCCTTTAAATAAACTGGCAGGATATACTTTCTTTGCCTTCAGTTAGACATAAAACACTGAAATTCAGCGTATCTTTCTTTTGGATCACCTCTGCCATGTCTATCGGAGGTCATCCTGGTTCTGCTCAGTGTGAACAAACAAGTTCTAATTTGTTTATGGAAGTTATGAGTGGTTTTTTTATTATGTATTGGGATTTCGTCTATGGGTTCAGGAGGTTATAAAGCTGCTTCTGTGAAAGATGGAGACTTTTACCCCAGGCAAGTTGAGTGAGAGCAGCTGTAACATGATCTTCTTTGCAGTGCTTTGCTGACTAGTATCTCTCCCTTTCTGGGAGTAACAGTAATTTATGCTATTAGCGTAATTTATTTTCTACTTTTCTCCCTGAAGATAAACTGGCAGTTTCAGTCACTTTGTGCTATGCAGTGGTGGCAAAATGTAATCTGAAACTAGATGACAATACAGTGGAAAGCGTGTTAACATGGATCACCCTGGGTACAAAGAGGAAAGTAGCATGCATAGAGCTGGCTGGCATAACTGCTTCTGTGTTCCTGCTCGCTCACTCTTTATGCAGCCCCACAATGTGCCCTGACGATGTCTGTGGCGCACTTTGCGCGATAAATGCAGCAGTAGTGGAATTTAATTTGTCTGGCTCTCCAGAATTCTTGTGTATGCTGTTTTATATGAATATGTAGTGCCGTTATCTCTATAACAAAAAACTACCAAAACATGTGTTCTCAACAATTATGCACAAATTTTATAATTGCTTTTGATAACTTTTTTAGTAGATTTCTTAGTACCAACAGATGAAATATAGACCTCCATATGTTTCATAATCTAGCAATTTGAAGGGATTCAAGATCTTAAACTGCAATATCATGTAAACTTTAAGATTATTTTTAACTTGCTGTAATATACTTATATATACTTATATTAAGCTGCAGCATACGTAACTGCCTGGATTGTTGGGTGATTCGAGCCCTATCATGCTTGGTGGCAATTCACGAACACTCTCAGCAACTTTAAGCTCCTAGACTTATAGTCCAGTAAAATCAATAAGAGTATTTGCCTGACTGAAATCCCTGAAGTTTGCTGAAATGGAGTTTCAGTCTTGCAACTGGATCTGAGCAGGGTTGAGAGGCTTCAGGGGTCCCTCGTGGCTTCTGTGGTCCCCCAAAACACACGCTGGCACGCAGGCAGCTGCAGGAGCGTGTGTTTGTGTGCTGGATGCTCTGCCGTAAAACTAAGGACGACAGATCAAAGATGTGAACATGAGGTCAGATAGGTTTTGAAAACTTAATCAGCTTAAATTTGCTTCAGAACTCAGCTTCATAATATTCTGTCCCCCTAAGAAAATATTTTCCTTAGACACCTGTCCTCAAATTTTAGAGCCAAGAACACAAGAGCACTTAGCAGTTCATCTGAGGACAGCGTTTTGAGGCTGGTCTGTCAATATAGTACCATGGCGCTTTGCAAGAAAAATACAGATCAGAATTGTGTCCTGAAATTAAAGTGAGTTTATTTTTTAGTTGTTGTTATTATCAAATTATTTCTGAAGTTAAATTATTTGAGGATAAAACCTTAGGAGCTATTTTCCCCAAGAATTATAGAAATCTTTGCTTATTGGATTCCAATATGACCAAGCAGCCTTGTTTTCGGTTTGTTTTATTCTTTATGTTCGAGTTGTGGGAAAAAATAAATGCTAGAGGAAAGGAAGAGCTGTCTGTCCAAAAGCTCCTGGTTGGTTCAGCTGCACGTTGGGTCAATTTTCAGTGTAACCACCGTCTTTAAATGGGGGGGACGTGCAGTGGGACAAAAGGCAGTTGCAGACACCAAGCTGAGGCATGAAGTTGTCCACGTTGTGCCCTGGCAGCCTGTGCCTGAGACTTTCTCCTTGCCTTTTCCCTCCATTCAGAAACAAGTCACCCTGATAAACTCGGGGGGGGGGGGGTTGCCTCCTTCCCCTGCTGCACACACACGCTCACTTCTTTTTTTTTTTTTTTTTTTTTATGTTAAGTACAAAATAAAAGGGTTGATCTTTTTTTTCTAATAATTGGCAGCAGTGGTACAATTTCTCCCCTCTTTTAAGTGATGAATAGTTGGCCCCAGATCAAAGGCAAGCCCTTGCGGTTTTTTTGGCTGCCACAAAAGGGCGTTGGAGCTGGCGCGGGTCCCAGCCGCTCAGCGATAGGCATGCGGACGAGGTGCCAAGTGGAGGGGTCGGTGGCAAAGTGTCTGTACACGTTCTTCGTCTGAGCTAATCTGGTTGCCTTTTGTGTGTGTTTCAGGCAAACAGCCGGCTGAAGCAGGCTGAGAAGGAGTACAGTCAGAAGCTGGCTAAATCCTCGCAGGTAGGTAGCAAGACAGCAGGAACCTCACGTGAATCCGTTTGATTTGGAAACTTGATGAAAAGTGTAATTACTTCTGCTCTGAAGTGTGAGTCTTGACGATCAAGAGGAGCCGTAACTGTTTTCCCAACCCAAACATCCAACGTCTGTCTTGCAGATTTTAACCTTTCAAAAAACACAGAGCATTAAGCTGACTAGGAGAAATGGGTGGGGCTTTTTGAGTTCTAAATTTCATCTTTTCCATCTACTTTTTCATCTCCTGAGGACCCAAGAGGACTGAGTCCTCCCTCAGTCGGTGGGAGGGGAAGGCGAGGTGCCCTGTCAACCGGCACGTCTTATAGAATCATCAGCAGCTGCACAACCAGGACTTGCGTTTCGTGGCACGAGGTGGTGTTTGCCCGCACAGTGATGGCGGGACAGCAGGCCCACCTGTGCCACCCTGGTGTTCGTCGTTGCTCCTAGACAGTTCCACGTTTCTGCCCAAAATAACACTTTGAAGAAGTCAGTGTCCTGAAAGCAAACCGGTTTTGACTTGAGCTTTTGCTCTTCAGAGTAGTCTTTTGAATGTGGAAGATGAAAATGTGTGTTGAATTTATAGATATGCTTAAAATTATAAGACAGGATGATTTTTAAATATTTCAGTGTTCAGTTGGATTGACAGGTCGTACTGAAGTGTGAAACATGATGGAGATGCAACCAGAAGTTAAGCTTTTAATAATAAGAAAATTGCCACGGGGATTTATGTGGAGGTGTTGTTCTTCTCTTTCCTCCCAACCATGGCAGAATGCCTGCCTTTTACTTGGAAATGCATTTTCAACAATAGTAGTAATAGTGTAATAATACTCTTTTAAAGTCAATAAAAACATTGAAGAATGGTTTAGAAGCCTCCAGGCTAGGCAGAGATGATCAGTGAGACAATGACCAGAAGTTGCAAACACTTTCAAATGTTTTAAAGCTCCTGATTTCAGCTTTTCAGCTACTTTTGAGTCTCACTGTAAAACTTGTCCAAAATTTTGGCTCTAGTTATTTCAGTGAAATTACGTTGGACTCTCACATTTTTTCACACCACATTTTTTGAGACTGCATTTATCAGAATCATCGTTAATTACATTTTTACATTGTGTTCAAAACATCAAAAGCCTGATACGTATTTTCTGCACATACGGAGAGGTTATGAGGTGTCACCCTTGGAGATACACAAAACCTGACTGGACGTGATCCTGAGCAACCAGCTCTGGGTGACGCCGCTTTGAGCTGGTCCCTTCCACCCTCACCAATTCCACGATTCAGTGATAAATCAGAGAACGCTTTCCTAACTGCCTTTGTAGTGATTTGTTGAGAGCCTTATTTAGAAAGAAAGAAACAAACACCCCATTTTTTTATCTTGCCTTCTGAACCTGAAAAGCAGAAAATTGATAAAGCTTAAAAAGTGACATTTAATGCGTGCCAGACTTTAAGGAAGAGGTCCCTTCATTGCTGACTCTGTTTTACCTTTTGTCACTGTCATTTTTATGCTATTGTCATGCCTAGCGAGTGCAATCAGAAGTCAGCCTCTCCATGCCAGACGTAATTGACTGTCAGAACGAAAATGAGTCTTGGTCCATTCGTTAAAAACTGATAGAATAATTTAAGCATTTCTGAACTTTTAGACAAGGAGTGAGGGAAATTGCTTTAATTGTTACAGTGGGAACACCTAGGTGGTGTAGTGCAAGGTAATAGCTATTTAACCTACATGTCATCATAAATTCTGCCAGACTGAAATTTATTGGCCTGCAGAATAGTTTCAAAATGTTTCCCTTTTTTTTTTCTTTTTTTTTTTTTTTTTTTTTTGAGCTAGGCATTGCTGTAGCTAATAGAGTGTTCTCTTTACTGGGGAGAGATAGATCCGGTGACCAGAACTGGCATTGCTCTGCGCTTTCTGTGGCAGACACAACACACACATCATATAGCAGGGCTATTTGGCACAATAAGGAGTTTCACCCTGATGTCTGAATTTCTTTACTTTTGTGGGTTTGAATCAAATCCCTAAAGTTACTTGAACATTTTTTTGTAGCTCAGTATTAATAATAGGTCAATTGCAACTTTTCTTGTGGTCATGTTGCTGACAACATCTGTCTAATCTTACTCTCTGTGGCCTCTTGGAACATTCGCTTTTAACACCCACACAGAGAAGATATTTCAAGAAATTTCCTCTGAAGTTTATACAAAGTAAACAGATTATTTTTTTTCTTTCTGAAAAGTACTGCACAAAGCAGATCTTTCTCCATCAATTCGTGCTGAAATTTCCTTGCATGCCTTTCAGACCTCCTATGTTAGTCCAGGATCTTAACCCACTAGAAGCTTTAAATTTCACTTTTCTGTTATATTAAAGGGTTTCTTATTTTGTTTTCTTTTTTAAAAGTGACACAATGGTACATACACAAAGTGGTGTAGGTTTGCATGGCTTCAGGCTGTTATTTTAATAATTTATATGACCCATTGCTTTCTCCTGCTTTCTCACTGCACGTGACACACCTAGCAAAGCCAAATTTGTGCAAGTTGTGTGTCGTGTAAATGATGACCTAAATTGCAAAACCAGTGATACTGCTTAATTCTGCCTAGAGTTACACCCAGATCATCTCTAAACTTTGGCCCATTGATCTCATTAAGAGCAAATAGCCTTCCTTTTGATTAGTGTATTATCTTTTTAAATATGTATTTGGTTTTAGAAAAGAAGTACAGAAATGTCCGTGTAGGTTTTACTCATAATCTTTGTGGGATTTTCAGGTAGTAAAACAGATAAATAAATTTCCAGTAGAGTTTTAATCAGCTCTTTTTCCCTTCCCCAGTGATTTTAGTACTTTCATTTGTAAAGTATAAGAGTAGAATAAAAGAATTTTTTATTATGTTAGTCCTCTCCTATTCGTAGTTCTAAAAAACCTCCATTTTTTCCTAAATAACTGTGGCCTTAGATTAGTTAAATGTTTCCGTAGCGATCACGAGGCCTCGCAAACACACAAGTCTGAGCACTCTGGTAGTCTCTCTCTGAACTGCCTGTGTGCTGAAGTGCTTTTAGAATTAGACTATGTTATGCTGCTACAGCAGCTTGACCTTAAGCTTGACTATATACAATGAAGTCAGTGATCTCCCATATGTTAAAGTGCTTTGCTGGGTGATGACTTCCATGTCAGCAAAAAATTCTGTAAATACGCCTGAAGGATCAGGTTTAGTTACAACTTTCCACAGTGATAAAAAAGGTGAAACAAGTACTTTTTGACAAATCATGAGCCAGTCATGTAAGAGGTCTAGTTTAGGGGTCCTGGATGTTGAGTCAGGTCCCCGCTGTGTTGCTAAGCAGAATATGCTCCTTTCAGCAGCTCAGAAATTTCTCTATCAAGTTTAAATTTCAGTCCAGCATGTAAATTTAAGTGGTTTTCTTCTCTGCAGTATCAGGCTATAAAGTATCCAAGAAAACGACCATCGCCATCACTATGTCAATTAGCAGTACTGGGTTCAGTGCAGTGGGGGACTGGAAACACACTCCATTCTGAAGATCACAGATGTGCTTTGTTCTCATGAGTAAATATTTTGGAATGCCATAGTGGAAAACCCTTCCAAATATTTTGTGTTCAGCAATTCTTGTCATTTGCAGCCTTACTATATTTCTTTTCTCTGCATGGAATTTCATGCTTGCTAGTGTGCGAGATGTTAATTTTAAATATTTCGCTTGCGCAGCGGAGTTTACCAATGCCATACTTGTACCGAGCGTAAAAACGTGCAAACTACATGCCTTTTGCTGACGAGAGGTTGAGCATGCCGTTTTCTTTTTAGATCATAGCCGAACTTAAGACAACCGTTTCCTCTCTGACGGAGGAGAACAGCCGGCAGCAGCTTGTGGCAGAGCAGCGGCTCCAGGAAGTTGTACAAAAGTTTGAAGATAAGAAGCAGCAGCTGATTACGGATAATGACAGAGCAATCAAGGTAATCTGGGGGTTTTAGTCACTGATGCTACTGGCTGTTTGAGTGTAATTAAAAGTTCTGCAGTGGGCAGATGACTGCAGGTATCGTTCCTGTTCACACAGCGCTCACTAATTCCATTCACTGGACCTTGACTTTGATGTAGCTGATGACTCAGGCTCTCTTTCCTCTACCTGATCATACGCCTGCATAAAACGTTTGGGTTTGGCGAGTCTAATCCATCCACTTCAGTCAAATACTTGAAACTTTCTGGTTCTCTTTCTTTTAATATTGACTCATATTTTAACCTATTTTCAGCACTTTTACACAGAGCTTTTGGTACTTGAAAAAAAAGAAAAAAGTGGAAAAAAGAAAGGAGATCTGAGTTGCACCACCTGAGAGCCAGCAGTATGGCGTGGGCTTTAGCTTGGTGATCTCACCTTTCATATTTAAGGCTGCAGTGAAGGAAAGTGTGTTCTTAAGTTCCACTGAAAACCAAGTCTCTGCTAAATACGAATGGAATAAAGTATTTGTTATTTGCATCTTTTTTTTTCATTAAACTTCTACATATTTTGCATCAGGGTTGCATCCTCTGGTCTTTTTCAAAGAAGCTTTAGAAGACTACAGGTTCTGAATATTCAGACTCTGTTCCTTGCTGCTTTGACACCCTAGTCCAAAGAGGCTGTGGAGAATCTCACCTGCAGAAGCAAGCAAAATTAATTTTTAAATGTTTTTCCTTCCAGAGTAGTGAAGAGCAATCGAAGGTTTTTGAAACTACGTAATCTTCTGGGGTTGACAATGAAAACACTTCATTAGAAGCTGTATAGAAGGAGGAAATTCAGGCTTTTTCCTCTTTGTAAAGACATTTACTAGTACCAAACAAAGATTTATGTTGTTAAATCTAGAAACTCATGAACAAATGAACTCCTATAGTATTTCTAACTTGTGCTGAAAAGAAACCATGGGAGTTTTTACATGTCGGAACTACCTGATGTTCAATTATGGTTCAGTTAATGTTGTCCTCTATGTTTGAATGATTTGTGTAATGAAATTAGGTTAACATTACTATCTCATTATCTGCAGAGTGTTCTTTATCCTTTCATAAATAGTTTATTTTTTTTCTTAAGGGAAATGTCTGCCTTTATTTGTGTGTGTTGTAGAACAGAATTTTCTTTCTGATCGTTCTTTAGTCTCTTCTGTCAAAGGTATAACCATGAAAATGTTGGCTATAATCTGTTATCCACATTGAATCACCAGAGGCAGTTTTTATTATCACTAGGCTCTGCAAGTAGAGCATAATTAAATCACATTATTTTGGGGTATAGATGGATTTTTCCCACTTAGGAAACGGTACTGTTTGTAGTTCTCTACTTTTCCGGTGGCCACCTAGATATACAGAAACCCTGTGGCAGTGGACTAGTCTTCCGTATGGTCAGAAATATGCTGTAATTCAGGTTATCCTACATGATACCTTCTTGAGTTATATATGTGAAAAACATGTTTTAGACCATTTACCAGATTTTTTTCTTAGCACCTGCTGCTACTGTTGAATTTATGGATTCACTTAAACTAAGTTACATTAAGTGGAAATAATTCAGCTGTTGATGACAACAGTTTTTGAACACTGATTATAGGTTGCATGAAATCCTTCTCAGTGTAAATCTGTGTTCAGCTATTATAGACTTAATTTTGATGCTATTACCTCACAATGAAGGAATTACATAAAAACCACAGGCAAATTCTGCACAGGCTTTCTGAGCAGTGTCGCAGAGAGTTTTTAGCACTGGTGCTGTGAGTATGTTTTGTAAGATTTGGTCAACTTGGGTAAGAAATTGCAGGAGCTGTTATGCTTGAAGATCTTGAACTTTGTTTAGCATCATTAATATTGTACTTTTAAAAAAATCTTCTTTGAAAACCACTGATTTAATGGAAATTTACTGAAAGCCAGATACCAAAACAGAAAATTCTTAGGAAGGTAAACTGCTGTGTATACTTCTGGAAACAGAGAGAGGTGTTCTGATCACTTCAGTATTTTTAAGAGCCATACATACTTCTAGATGACCATATGTAGAAATACTTTGCTTTTTATTAGCCTGGGGCAAAAAAAAAATTGTTTCAGTGGAAGTGGAATCCTAGATGTCCTGGAGATGGGGAACAACATCTAGCCTAGGGCAAGCTGAAGACCTTGAGGGATGATTAAAGAAACATTGTAAAACCAAAGCAGTTCTTAATATAGCATAAGCCTTTGAGAAGACTTAATATAGTATAAGCTATTAAAAAGACTGTCGTTAAAAATGGACATTTGCTAAATATAACATTGATTTAAACTAACATTGAGGAACAGATTGCAATTTCCTTTATATGGTATTGGGTGACTTCCTGTAAGACCTTCCAATTATTATTTCCTTTCAAATGGAGAAATACATTTTTACAGAAACCAACTGGCTCTCAGAGAAGTGTTGGATTTAGTCAGTAAAGTGATATCCAGATGTGGATGCCATAATACATGATTTTGATGTTAATTCAAATTCCTGACTTTGTTAGTTTAAGATTTCTAAGTTGTTGTTATTTCACATCTGTATCTATCTCCTTAATTTTGATTTTTTTTTTAAATAGTATCTTAAACATTAGTGAAAAAGAACAAAGGAAACTTTTAAGAACATTTTGCTGCTTTTGACAACCCAAAACCCCAATCTGAGCAACGCTTTTTGGCTTCAATGGCCTCAGTTGAGTCAGTTTGAGACAAATGCTTAAAGTACTTGGCATTCTGTGTTACACCCCGATTTTTCTGGCCTGTGGGCCAGTCAGACTTTGTGCTGTCAGAGTCATCAAATCAGGATAAAATTGTGGCTCGTCACATTCCTTTCTTGTGGCTAATAAGGCAACCAGTTTGGATGCCATCACGTTGCACTGTCTGATAGCGAAGACCCAAGAGGCAGTGTTCTGACAAGGCGTTGAACAACTGAGTGATTCCGGTCGCTGCCTTTTCGCTGCTGTTGGGTTTCAGCCTGTTGGGATTACGACAGTGTTGGCACGGGGAGCGATCCCAAAAGCACAGCTCACCCACCGTTCAGTGCTGCCTGGATATCTTTGCTTTGAACTTACCAGGACTTGCATTCTTTGGAGCAGAGTACAAGGACACTGCAATTGGCCTGGCATGGGGCAAATCCAGCAAAGCTCACCTGGTCCCTGTGCCATGCCTCTCCTGTGATGTGCTTACACTTCAAAGATCCGGAACCGTTGGTTTAGACCGTAGGATTAGTTGAGAGTACAATTATATTAATGCCCTGCAGATGCTTGGCAAAGCTGCTTTAATTGCCATGTCTGTCAAGCCATTTGTGATGCTTTAGACTGGGATTTCAGAAGGCACCCTCCAGTAAGGGTTTGGGTGCTGAACTCCTGAGAATGTCTATGCAGGAGCTATGTTGGTCATTGAAGTGTAGTGTAAACTTATTAAGGCTAAATTAAAACTAGCTTTCTTGCATCCTGATAGCAATCTAGCCACAACAACCCCGAGCTCAATACAGTCAAATGGTCAGAGCATTTACCTGACTGGGACTGAAAGTGCAAAACAGTTCCTGGGATTGAAACTGCAAAACATGTTCAGAGCATTTGAATGTAGAAGTTGATGGCCAAGTGGAGACTCCACATCAAAAAGTAGATTCTGGAAAGAAATGGATGATGGAAAGCACGCACTGACAAACCCACAAAAGAAGAGGGAGAAAATGATGGTTTTTTGCCAGAGGAACCACATTTGTTGTTTGGCTCATATACAAATTCTAGGATTCTGTTATATCCCCTGAATTAACACCAAAATTTCATTAGCAAAACATGGTTTGAAGATGACATATTTCAACACTTTGTGTGTCGGCCAGCTTATGACCAGATTAATTCTGTTAATAAATAAGACTTAAAAGATTTCTAGGAAAGAATGTCATATAATAATGTTCCCCTTCATGTGAAAAATTTTGAAACAGTTGCTTTTCTTTGTTACGGTTAAAAATGTTGAGAGTGGAAAAAAATCAAAAGTGTATTTTATAGCCTTAGCAAAACAAAGAAGGAAACTTCTGGTTTTAAATTGTCAGGGCCTATGTGGATGTTGAGTATTCTCAACATCATTATATATTTGTTAGATACTGTCTTGGAGCACGAAGATAACTTCCTCTGCAGAGACTGGACTGAGGGTTTTATCGGCACCGTGAGATTTTGCAATGCAACCATGAACAGAATGCTGTGCTGTGGTGATGCTTGAGTCGGCCCTTGCGTGTGGGGTACTCCGTTTCCTTTTGTTCTGGAGCACTGCTTGCACAGGGGGGTTTTACATTGACACCGCTCTATTTTGGCATGTCATGGCAGCAAAGGGCCCCCTGGAGAGAGCACGTGGTCTCTTGGTCTCCCGCCCAGCCCACCTCTCCGCCGTGCCTGGGTCCTGCCGCGCCAGGGCGGCCGGTCTGGCCCCATCTCCTGCTTGTTGGATTTGCGTCATCCCCCCTCCCCTTCGGTTTGGTTCCCACTGAAAGTAAAACAAATTATTTTAAACCTTGGGATGTTTTAAAGCATTCAGAACATTTCTTTAAGGGCACCTGATATCTTTGTTTCCAGAAAGTAGTTGTCAAAATATACTGGTGGTATTTACAAATGTCTCTAAAATGCAGTGTATTGGAAAAACTGTGTTTTTAAAAATGTTGTGAACAAGCTAATTTTGCGTGTAGTTATATTTCATTATCAACCATATTTATTAGCAAATTCCACTTGTAATTACAAATAATATTTTGTATTGAAAGAAAAAGCATGTCAGAGCTATGGGGACATTAACTGAGTGACTGTAATCCTGCAGAACTATTTAGGCTGTTGTCCTCAAAATGCCTTTTGCAATCCCACCGTTGTACTCTGCAGTAGCCAATGTTGGGTTTAGTAAGAAATAAATAATTCTAATTTGTTGGCTTAAAAGTCCCAAGGAAAGCTAACTCTGTGTTTTAGATGTCCTTATTAAGAGAGGAGAGGCATCAGAGAGCATACAACCT